TCTAGTGGCCAGGCGCGGTGGCTCAAGCCTGTAATCCCAGCACTTTGGGAGGCCGAGGCGGGTGGATCACAAGGTCAAGAGATCGAGACCATCCTGGTCAACATGGTGAAACCCCATCTCTACTAAAACTACAAAAATTCAGCTGGGCATGGTGGCGCGTGCCTGTAATCCCAGCTACTCAGGAGGCTGAGGCAGGAGAATTGCCTGAACCCAGGAGGCGGAGGTTGCGGTGAGCCAAGATCGCGCCATTGCACTCCAGCCTGGGTAACAAGAGCGAAACTCCGTCTCAAAAAAAAAAAAAAAAAAATTATTAGAGATCTAATATATAGAGAGGCTGGGCACAGTGGCTTATTCTTGTAGTCCCAGCACTTTCGGAGGCTAAAGCAGGAGGATCACGTAAGCCCACGAATTTGAGACCAGCCTGGGCAACATAGTGAGACTCCTTCTCTAGAAAAAAAATATAAAAGTCAGCCAGGCGGCCGGGCGCTGTGCATGGCTCATGACTATAATCCTAGTACTTTAAGAGGCCAAGGGAGGTGGATCTCTTGAGGTCGGGAGTTTGAAACCAGCCTGGCCAACATGTTGAAACCCCGTCTCTACCAAAAAAATACAGAATAGCCAGGTATGGTGAGGGGCACCTGTAATCTCAGCTATGTGGGAGGCTGAGGCAGGAGAATTGCTTGAACCCCATGGGCAGAGGTTGTAGTGAGCCAGGATCACACCACTGCACTTTAGCCCGGGCAACAAGAGCAAACCTGTCTCAAAAAAGAAAGAAAGAAAGAAAGAAATATCAGGATAAACATTTTATTTTATTTATTTATGGTTGTTGTTGTTGTTGTCATTTTTGAGACGAAGTCTCAACTCTGTTGCCCATGCTGGAGTGCAGTGGCTTAATCTTGGCTCACTGCAACCTCTGCCTCCTGGGTTCAAGCGATTCTTCTGCCTCAGACTCCCAAGTAGCTGGGACTACAGACATACACCATCATGCCCGGCTAATTTTTGTATTTTTAGTAGAGACGGGGTTTCATTCTGTTGGCCAGGCTGGTATTGAACTCCTGACCTCGTGATCTGCCCACCTTGGCCTCCCAAAGTGCTGGGATTACAGGTGTGAGCCACTGCACCCAACCTATTTATTTTTTTGAGACAATGTCTCGCTCTGTCGCCCAGGTAAGAGTGCAGTGGAGCCATCTTGGCTCACTGCAGCCTCTGCCTCTTGGATTCAAGCGATTCTCCTGCCTCAGCGTCCCAAGTAGCTGCAATGTGACACCACACCTGGCTAATTTTTTGTATTTGTAGTAGAGGCGGGGTTTCACTGTGTTAGCCAGGATGGTCTAGATCTCTGGACCTCGTGATCCACCAACCTTGGTCTCCCAAAGTGCTGGGATTGTAGGTATGAGCCGCTGCACCCAGCCTTATGTGTGTATGTATGTATTTTATATATATATATATTTATTGCATTTTAGGGTTTGGGGTACATGTGAAGAACATGCAAGATTGTTGCATAGGTACATACATGGCAATGTGGTTTGCTGTCTTCCTCCCCATCACCTATGTCTGACATTTCTCCCCATGTTATACCTCCCTAACTACCCACCCCCTGCTGTCCTTCCCCCTCATCCCCCACCACGACCCCAGTGTGTGATGCTCCCCTCCCTGTGTCCATGTGTTCTCATTGTTCAACACCCACCTATGAGTGAGAAGATGCAGTGTTTGATTTTCTGTTCTTGTGTCAGTTTGCTGAGAATGATGGTTTCCAGGTTCATCCATGTCCCTACAAAGGACATGAACCCATCGTTTTTATGGCTGCATAGTAGTCCATGGTGTATATGTGCCACATTTTCTCTGTCTAGTCTATCATTGATGGGCATTTGGGTTGGTTCCAAATCTTTGCTATTGTCAACAGTGCTGCAATGAACATTCTTGTGCATGTGTCCTTATAATAGAATGATTTATAATCCTTTGGATATATACCCAGTAATGGGATTGCTGGGCCAAATGGAATTTCTATTTCTAGGTCCTTTAGGAATCACCACACTGTCTCCCACAATGGTTGAACTAATTTACACTCCCACCAACAGTGTAAAAGTGCTCCTATTTCTCTACATCCTCTCCAGCATCAATGATCGCCATTCTAAATGGCATGAGATGGTATCTCAGTGTAGTTTTGATTTGCATCTCTCTAATGACCCGTGATGATGAGCATTTTTTCATGTTTGTTGGACTCATTTATGTCTTGTTTTGTAAAGTGTCTGTTTGTATCCTTCGCCCAGTTTTGCATGGGCTTGTTTTTTTCTTGTAAATCTGTTTTAGTTCTTTGTAGATTCTGGATATTAGTCCTTTGTCAGATGGGTAGATTGCAAAAATTTTTTCCCATTCTGTGCTGTACACGTTCAGAGAAACTTCCCTAGTAATAAACTATAGAAATGATCCCTGAAAGTATAGTCTTTATTTATTTTTAATTTTTTTTTGTCTCCCCCATGGGGCCCAGCGCAGGGACAGGGAATGGGAGGGATTTATTTTATTTTTTGAGACGGAGTCTCACCCAGGCTAGTGTGCAGTGGCACGATTATGGCTCACTGCAGCCTCAACCTCCGCAGTTTCATGCTTCCTTAGTAGCTGGGATCACAGGCACGTGCCACCACACCCAGCTATTTTTTATTTATTTATTTACTTATTTTGAGATAGGTTTTTCCATATTACCCAGGCTAGTTTTGAACTCCTGGGCTCAAGTGATCCACTCGCCTTGGTTTCCCAAAGTGTTCAGATTACAGGTGTGAGCCACTGCGCCTGGCCAGGAAAAACATTTTAAGTTGTCAAGACTGTCTATTAGTAGAACAGGCTGTCTTGGGAGAGCCCTGGACCTGCGGTCTCAGACAAGTTATTAGACAAGTATCCGTAGAGGGTTAGACCATTGGGAACATACTGTGTTCTCAAGAGTCACTTAGGGCTGGACTGGGAGAGGTTGGATTAGCAGGAATCAGCCTTGTTGCAGCCACAGTACTTCCATCTTGTTACTTATCAGAGTCCTTATCAGAATTTGAGAAGGCTACAGTGCTTTCTTAAAAAGAATTCAGAAACCATTAGATTAGATGATTTTTCTATTCTCTGTTACTGAAAAAGCTTAACTAGCAAATGGAATTTGTAGAGGGGATTTACTTTTGTTGGAAAAAGATGAACTCTTATTGACAGATAAAAAAAAGGATTTCTTTCTTAAGAATTGCCATTATGGCCAAGTGTGGTGGCTCACGCCTGTAATCCCAGCACTTTGGGAGGTCAAGGTGGGCAATCACGAGGTCAAGAGCTTGGGACCGGCCTGGCTAACATAATGAAACCCCTTCTCTACTTAAAATATAAAAAAAAAAAAAAGGCCGGGCGCGGTGGCTCACGCCTGTAATCCCAGCACTTTGGGAGGCCGAGGCAGGTGGATCACGAGGTCAAGAGATCAAGACCATCCTGGTCAACATGGTGAAACCCCATCTCTACTAAAAATACAAAAAATTAGCTGGGCATGGTGGTGCGTGCCTGTAATCCCAGCTACTCAGGAGGCTGAGGCAGGAGAATTGCCTGAACCCAGGAGGCGGAGGTTGCAGTGAGCCGAGATTGTGCCATTGCACTCCAGCCTGGGTAACAAGAGCGAAACTCCGTCTCAAAAAAAAAAAAAAAATTAGTCAGGCATGGTGCCGAGCGCCTGTAATCCTAACTACTTGAGATACCAAGGCAGGAGAATTGCTTGAAATTAGTAGGCTGAGGTTGCAGTGAGCCAAGATCATGCCACTGCACTCTAGCCTGGACAACAGTGTGAGACTCCATCTCAAAAAAAAATTTTTTTTGTATGACCACCTGGGCATGGTGGCTCACGCCTGTAGTCCCAGCACTTTGGGAGGCCTTGGCACGCAGGTCACTTGAGGTCAGAAGTTTGAGACCAGCCTGGCCAACATGGCAAAGCCACGTCTCTACTAAAAATACAACAATTAGGGCCAGGCATGGTGGCTCATGCCTGTAATCCCAGCACTTTGGGAGGCCAAGACGGGCAGATCACAAGGTCGGGAGATTGAGACCATCCTGGCCAACATGGTGAAACCCCATCTCTACTAAAAAATGTAAAAACTTAGTCAGGTGTGGTGGTGCGCGCCTGTAGTTCCAGCTACTCAGGAGGTGGCTGAGGCAGGAGAATCACTTGAACCTGGGAGGCGGAGGTTGCAGTGAGCCAAGATCGTGCCACTGCACTCCAGCCTGGTTGACAGAGTGAGACTCTGTCTCAAAAAAAGCATCAGTTGGGCATGGTGACAGGCACCTGTGATTCCAGCTACTCGGGAGGCTGAGGTAGGAGAATCACTTGAATCCTGGAGATGGAGTTTGTGGTGCACCAGGATTGCATCATTACACTCCAGCCTGGGTGACAGAGTGAGACTCTGTCTCAAAAAAAAAAAAAAAAAGAAAAGGGGGGAATTGCCATTATGCCTCAACAAAGGCCTCATTCAGTGTTACACATATAAAAATTGTTTTTTTGCGGCTAAGGGAGAAACTTCCAGTACTCATCCTTCTTTGCTCTTCAATGTTTCCCCAGTTCCTACTCAGCTCTTCTCTTGTCTTCCATTTAGTGTTGATATAAAACTCACAGGCATTACTGCTTTTAATGCCTTGGTGGGAAAAGGTGGAATCTACTCAGAGAGGGTCTTGTTCGTCCATAATCATGGCTGAAAAAGTGCTTTGTAGACTGGATTCCAGTTCTTTTATTTTTGTTTTTGCAGAAATGGGGTCTCACTATGTTGCCCAGGGTGGTCTCGAACTTTTAGCCTCAAAGGATCCTCGCCTCAGTCTTCCAAAAGTGCTGAGATTACAGGCGTGAGCTACCTTGTCAAGCTGCCTGGTTTTTATCTATTGGAAAGAGTATCACAGTTTTAATATCCCCACTTGCTGGAGTTTTGCTGATCTTTATGCTGAGGAATCCATTGTTTTAAATATGTAATTTATATTTTTTACTTATTTTTGTTTTATAGAGAGAAGGACTTTCAAAATTCAATAAGATCTATGAATTTGATTATCACCTGTACGGCCAGGTAGGTGCTTAAATATTTCTAACATAAGCAAGAGAAAGTAGCATAGTCATATATAATGTGTCACTGTCTTAAGAATAACAATTTTTAACTTAAAGGTAACTGGTTATAGGTGATCACTTTATAATTTATGAGGAAGTCTCTTTTTAATAAAATATGGTCTCATTTCAGCTCTTTATTACAAAAAAAAAGCTAATATACAATAATTTGAGGAAAATTTAAGTGATACAAAAGGTGTCATGGTACTAGAATTAGAAAGATGATTGTATTCCTATGGCTTTTGGCTTTGAAGAGCTATATTTATGTTTGTTCCTTCCCAATGTTTGTTTGTTTTTTTTAAGTGTCTTTAATAGAAGTTCCTCCCTCTCATTTGAATGACTTGGCAAAATATAACTGCAAAAAGACTAACTGAATTTTGAATTTCGTCATTATTCAGAATGTTACCATGGTAATGACTTCGGTTTCTGGACATTTACTGGCTCATGATTTCCAGATGCAGTTTCGAAAATGGTCAGTACAATTCTCAAGGGAAGGACTTTCAGATTATAGTAAGTTGTGAAATTGCACAGGAATTTTGAGACATGTTGATCTTACTGGGTAATTTTGGGGGCGGGGAGGGGACAGAGTCTTGCTCTGTTGCCCAAGCTACAGGCTAGAGTGCAGTGGCCCAATCTTGTCTCACTGCAGCCTCTGTCTCCTGTGTAAAAGTGAGTCTTGTGCCTCAGTTTCCCAAGTAACTGGCACCACAGCTGTGTGCCACCACACCCAGCTAATTTTTTCTATTGTAGTAGAGATGGAGTTTCACTATGTTGCCCAGGCTGGTCTCAAACCCTGCCTTGGCCTCCCAAAGTGCTAGGATTACAGGCGTGAGCCACTGTGCCTTGGTAATTTATAATACTAAGATGACCTAGGATTATCTGATCCATTGTGAATTTTTATTACATCTTTAAGCAGTTACTTTTGGTGTTTCCTCAAAATTACCAGACCTTTTTCATGCAGCCATTGCATTTACCTGTGAAAGGACTCTAGAATGCCATCTTCTCAGTCCTGTTCACACTCATGGAGAAGTGGACAGTGTGTTATGCAGAGGGTCATAGCCTTATTTCAATTCCCCGGGACCTTTTTTATTGGGGATCCACCATGAGCCCATTGGAACAGTTTGCTGTCATTAGGTTCGAGGGCTGTCCATCATGTACTGAGTTGGGACTCTGTTTTCATTTCTAGGCAGAGCTGCAACCCTCTTGTCCTCTTTGAAGCGGAAATTGAAAAGTACTGCCCAGAGAATTTTGTTGACATCAAGGTAAGGTCTTTTGGAAGACATATGGCACTGAACAACTACAAAGAGTCAAATGGAGTGATTTCTGTATTTTTAATAAATTGGCATTTGGAGATAAGGTTTTCCACCAAACTTACTACCATTATTTAAAAAGCTAGTTTCCACTCATTGTATAAATATGGCTAAGTGGCCAAGGAACTGAAGTAAGCATTTTTTTTATGAATAGTAGTTGTTTAAATCCTAGGCATAAGGGCTGGACATGGTGGTTCATGCCTGTAATCCCAGCACTTTGTGGGGCCAAGCCAGGATCACATGAACCCCAGGAGTTTGAGACAAGCCTTGGCAACATAGTGAGACCCCATCTCTCCAAAAAAAAAGAAAAAAAAAAATTAACCAAGCATGGTGATGTACGCCTATAGTCCCAGCTCTAGTAAGGCTGATGAAAGAGGATTACATGAGCCCAGGAGGCAGGAAGTCAAGGCTGCAGTGGGCTGTGATTGCACCACTACACTCCAGCCTGATGAGAAAGTGAGACTCCCATCTCAAAAAATGATCCTAGGAATAAGTATTGTAAATTATTAGTGTAGCCTCCATCTCCCCCCTCGTTAGATGGAAGAGGCTACAAAGTATAAATACCTGTTTGACAGTAAATTACCAGTTGTCAAGCAGTCAGGGCATACATAGTTAATTTATTGAGAACTGAGAATCCATTGGATGAAACTCAATTGAGATTCATTTTCTTTAGGTCATAATCAAAACCTCTCAAGGGTGTGTGTGTGTCTGTGTGTCTGTGTGTGTGTGTGTGTGTGTGTGTGTGTGTGTGTGTGTGTGTGTTAGAGCTGAATTTTAGGTTTTGTCATATTGGGGAAATTATATTAAATCCTCTATTCTAGAAGTTCATTTATGCTTCTGAGGAGTTCTGTCACCATTAGCACCAATGAGAGCGGTTTTCTCTGATCTCTTTCCCTCACCAAGTTGGCATACTCCAAGAACAGCATTAACCTTCAGTCAGATCCCCTTAGCATAGAGGTGTCAAGCCACTGTTCCGTAATTCTGTTCTCACCACTCTTATTCCACTATGAACTTCAGAAAACTCTGGAGCGAGAGACTCGCCAGTGCCAGGCTTTGGTGATCTGGACTGACTGTGATAGAGAAGGTGAAAACATTGGCTTTGAGATTATCCATGTATGTAAGGCTGGTAAGTGCTGCTGCTGCTGACTTTCTCTACTTTAGAATTCCATAAATAGAGTGTTCTCCTTTGTATGTGCAAGTGGGCCGTGGATGCGTTCCTCTGCAGATACTCTCCCTCCCAGTCTGTGAGTCCATCACTATTTCTGATGACACACTCAGTTTAAAGGTTATGGTGTTATTTCCTCCTTATCACCGTATACCATTGATTTAACCTAATAGGTAAATTGGGCACCTCACGGCTACTTGAACTGGTTTACCTTTATTTCAAGGTAGTTTAAGAAAAGTGAGCCCTGTATGATGGAGGGCAGTGTGATTTGACTTTGACCTTGGTAACGCCTTGTGTTCTGCAGTAAAGCCCAGTCTGCAGGTGTTGCGAGCCAGATTCTCTGAGATTACACCCCATGCTGTCAGGACAGCCTGTGAAAACCTGACCGAGCCTGATCAGAGGGTGAGCGATGCTGTGGATGTGAGGCAGGAGCTGGACCTGAGGATCGGTGAGGAGCTTGGCGGACCCCTCTTACGACCATGTTAATGCTGTGTTATGGGACTAAAAATGGGCTCGATGTAGGTGTGTTCAGCCAGCCCTGGCCTCTCATCATCCATAATTGTCTCCTTTCTTCACTCTCTAGGAGCTGCCTTTACTAGGTTCCAGACCCTGCGGCTTCAGAAGATTTTTCCTGAGGTGCTGGCAGAGCAGCTTATCAGTTATGGCAGCTGCCAGTTCCCCACACTTGGCTTTGTGGTGGAGCGGTTCAAAGCCATTCAGGCTTTTGTACCAGAAATCTTCCACAGAATTAAAGGTAGGGCCTGGAGTAAGGGTTATGGCCTGGGACCTATGGGCCCAATATTAAGGTGGGGGACTGTGAGCATTTAATAGCAATACTAGGCCAGGCGCAGTGACTCAAACCTGTAATCCCAGCACTTTGGGAGGCTGAAGCGGGCGGATCACTTGAGGTCAGGAGTTCAAAACCAGCCTGGACAACATGGTGAAACCCCATCTCTACTAAAAATACTAAAATTAGCTGGGCATGGTAGCATGCGCCTATAATCTCAGCTACTCAGGAGGCTGAGGCAGGAGATTTGCTTGAACCTGGGAGGCGGAGGTTGCAGTGAGCCAAGATCGCACCATTGCACTCCGGCCTGGGTGACAGAGTGAAACTCCGTCTCAAAAAAAAAAACAGCAATGATAAAGATGTGATTTATTCTAGTCTTGCTGTCGTCCACCCAGGCCCATTACAATCCACTTAAAGTTCCATTTCTTATCCAGAAACTCTTCCCTATTCGATATTCCTTTGACTTTCACCATAATATACCTTCTATCTGTCATATCATGTGGCTTTTCTGAGACACAGCCTTTCTGTTTGTCTCTCCTTAATACAGTAACTCATGACCACAAAGATGGTATCGTAGAATTCAACTGGAAAAGGCATCGACTCTTTAACCACACGGCGTGCCTAGTTCTCTATCAGTTGTGTATGGAGGTAAGATGTCCCTCAGACCCTGATGATCTAGGAAACATTCTGCACACCTCCCAAGCCACTCCCCATCTGTTGGCAGAGGCGATCCTGTCACATTCTCCCATTGGAATTTAGCTTTAAGTTTGCATCTCAGGGGGGACCACTTTTTGGGGACCAATAAGACTAGTACCCCATGAAAACAGCACTACAAGAAGGGAAGGATCTGCATTATTTTTAGATAAAATCAGAAATTTTGAGAAATGTATAGTTGAAATCCTACCTTGCAGCATATACTGTCACCAGAAATTAGCAAGGATCCACTAGACCAGTCCAGATCGTGGACTAAAGAGCCAGGAGAGAGTGGACAGCATTTGGCTCAGCCCCCTCTTTATTGGTTGCATGAGGAAATGTAGAGAGGTGAAAGTCACAAATTAGTGGGTTAATTTTATATATTGATAAAAGCTAGGAAGAAAATAAAGCAAGGTAAAGGGATAGAGAAAGGCTGGAGGGACAGAGAGGGGAGGGGTGACATTTGAGCAGAGGTTGGAGTGACTCAGGAGAGGGTTGGGGAGTAGGTGGGACACCCATGTGCCATAGAAGGGAGCAAGACTGGCCCAGGCCATAGGCTGGTTGGTGGCAGAGTTGGGACTCACCCTAATGTTTCCTGGCCCTTGGGCTGGTTGTCTACTTTCTAATGTCACTTCCTATTAGTACATAACAGCTTGGTTTAACACCGAGGCCGCACAGAGTCATGCTTAAGTAAAATTCTGAGCTCTCTATGCTTCATTCATGTGTGCTTCTTGGCTGTAGCCCACTGGCGGATTTGTTACTAATTAGGCAAAGGGAGTGATAACTGTGCAGCACCTGCTGTGGATCAAGCACACTTTATTATGTGCGTTTTGTTTAACCCTGATAATGCCTGTGAAGGCAGTAATAGCATCCCCATTTTCCAGAAGAGGAAGCTAAAGAAAGAGTGACTTACCCACAGATAATGTGAGACTGTACGTGGCAGGGCACAGTTGGATTCCAGTGTGTCCCTGACCCTTCTGCAGACCATGCTGCCTTCCCCATATCTCTCTCACTCCACCTTTTGACCCTGGACCACTGGGAGTCTCTGTGACACTGCGCAATTGTTTGTTAAATAAAAAGACCACCACCGGACACTGTGGCTCATGCCTGTAATCCCAGCACTTTGGGAGGATGAGGTGGGTGTATCACCTGAGGTTGGGAGTTTAAGACCAACCTGCCCAAAATGGAGAAACCCCATCTCTACTAGAAATACAAAATTAGCTGGGCATGGTGGCAGGCGCCTATAATCCCAGCTGTTTGGGAGGCTGAGGCAGGAGAAGCACTTGAAGCCAGTAGGCGGATGTTGCTTTGAGCTGAGATGGCACCATTACACTCCAGCCTGGGCAACGAGAGCGAAACTCCATCTCAAAAAATAAAAAAAATAAAAAGATTACCAGCCTGGGTTATATAGTGAATCCCCATCTCTACAAAAAAGAAAATAAACATAGCTGGACATGGCCTCACTTGCATATAGTTCCATTTACTTGGGAGGTTGAGGTGAGAGAATTGCTTGAGCCCAGCAGGTTGAGGCTGCAGTGAGCCATGATTGTGCTGCTGTACTTCAGTCTGGGTGACAGAATGAGACACTGCCTCAAAAAAAAAAAAAAGACCAACTTAATAATAAAATGTGAAATAAGGCCGGGCGCGGTGGCTCAAGCCTGTAATCCCAGCACTTTGGGAGGCCGAGGCGGGTGGATCACGAGGTCAAGAGATCGAGACCATCCTGGTCAATATGGTGAAACCCCGTCTCTACTAAAAATACAAAAAAAATTGGCTGGGCATGGTGGCGCGTGCCTGTAATCCCAGCTACCCAGGAGGCTGAGGCAGGAGAATTGCCTGAACCCAGGAGACGGAGGTTGCGGTGAGCCGAGATCGCGCCATTGCACTCCAGCCTGGGTAACAAGAGCGAAAAAAAAAACTCCGTCTCAAAAAAAAAAATAAAAATAAAAATAAAATAAAATGTGAAATAAGTAAATAATAAAAAGACCTGCCCTGTTACTCCTTCACTTGGATGTGGTGCAGGAACAGATGATGGGTGATACAAATTATGAGCTGGTTTTAAGATTAAAGGTCTCCAGCTTGTATAATTTCTCCTATTTCTAACTCTATTTTTTTTTTTTAAGGAGCACTGGGCCGAACATGGTGACTCATGCTTATAATCCCAGCACTTCTGGAGGCTAAGACAGGAATATTGCTTGAGCCCAGGACTTCTGGGCCAGCCTGAGCAACATAGCAAGACCCCATCTCTATATTTTAAACAAAACGACAAAAAGAGCACTGTGCATGTGTACATAGAAAACTGTATTCAGGCAATGCATAGGCCGTTGGATTTCATAGGCTCTGGAGGAAGCACCTTAAGGCTTGTGAAATTGCCCTTCACAATCTTGGTCTGATCTGGAGAGTAGTGATTGTATCCACCATACTGTCAGCTACAAGCAACATTAAATGGTCACTCCCTTGGGCTGTCATTGTGGGTTCAGCTCCTGGTCAGTGATTTGGAAGGATGGGCGTGTGTTGTCCGCAGGAAGTTTGGAGATGATGCACTAATAATTAACATGGTCTTTGCTTTCCTGGCTTTCTAGGATCCCATGGCAACTGTGGTAGAGGTCAGATCTAAGCCCAAGAGCAAGTGGCGGCCTCAAGCTTTGGACACTGTGGTATGTTCTGGGTGGCTGTTTCAGGCACTGAGGGATCAGTTATTTTCGTTTTGGGGCCATGGTTCTACTGCCTAGACTCTGGCCTAGTGGAAGGAAATATTACCCATCAGCAGGCCACACAAGAAAAACACTTGAGAAAGGTACACTTAGCCTCACTGTTTTTGTTTGTTTGTTTGTTTTGTAGACTCAAACTTCTGGGCTCAAGTGATTCTCCCACCTCAGCCTCCCAAGTAACTGGGACTGCAGGCATGTGCCACCATGACCAGCTAAATATTTTTAAAATTTTTTGTAGAGATGGAATCTCACTATGTTGCCCAGGCTGTTCTCAAACTCCTGGCCTCAAGTAATTCTCCAGCCTCTGCCTCCGAAAGTACTGAGATTACAGGCATGAGCCACCACACCCAACCACTGCTTAGCTTTTTTTTTTTTTTTTTTTTTTAAAGTTAACAGATGCAATATAACTGCCTTGTATGAGGTTTGGGAAACAAAAAAGGGAAAGACAACTTACTACTTCGCTATCCTTACATAATTACTGGTATCTCTTCCTGTTTTTTAATATGCATATTTTTACAGCATTGTAATTAGTTAGACAGCTTGTACTCAACCATTTTGTTCATGTTGCTGCATAATCTGTGTAAATATTACTTTAAATAATCTGCTATATGAACCTACTTTAGAACAGGGCTTCTCAAATTGTTTGACTCCAGGAAGAGCCACCCCAATAGAACACAAGTCTAAATAACATTGGGAGTGTGCCTTCCCAATTACCACTTAGCAGGAAAATTTGGAAAAGAATTACTATCAGAATTCACTCTGAAGGCTGGACATACAGAACACTCAGGCTAGCAAGCATGAAGGCTAAGAAGCATGCGGGGACTGGTGGGCAGTGCATTCTTTGTCTTGGGTAAGCCACAGTAAATATGTATGTGTGTGAAGGGACTGCATGGGGGAAGTTATGCATTGATTTTATATAGTAGGCATACATGTTTTAGTCCTCACTGGTTAATTGTGCTTTAGTGTGACATTGGCATTGTTAGCTTGTCACCTAGGGAAAAGGACAGCTGGTTATCCCCCAGGAGGCCTCCTTGGGTTTTCACCCTGCAGGAGAATTTACTGGGTGGTGCTCCCAAAGTGCGATTCTCAGACTATCTGTGTCAGAACAGTATATTAGACTCCTTGTTAAAAAATGTAGATTTCTGGGCCAGATGTGGTGGCTGACGCCTGTAATCCCAGCACTTTGGGAGGCCAAGGTGGGCAGATCACCTGAGGTCAGGAATTTGAGACCTGCCTGGCCAACATGGCGAAACCCTGTCTCTACTAAAAAATTAGCCAGCCATGATGGATGCCTGTAATCCCAGTTACTTGGGAGACTGAGGCAGGAGAATTGCTTGAACCCAGGAGGCAGAGGTTGCATTGAGCCGAGATCATATGCCACTGTACTCCAGCCTGGGTGACAGAGTGAGACTCTGTCTCAAAAAAAAAAAAAAAGTGTAGATTTCTGGCCAGGGATGGTGGCTCATGCCTATAATCTGAGCAATTGGAGGCTGAGGTGGGTAGATCCCCTGAGGTCAGGAATTTGAGACCAGCCAGGCCAACATGGTGAAACCCCATCTCTACTAAAAATACAAAAATTAGCCAGGCATGGGTGTGGGCACCTGCAATCACAGCTACTCGAGAGTCTGAGGCAAGAAAATCACTTAAACCCAGGAGGCAGAAGTTGTGGTGGATCGAGATCATGCCACTGCACTCTAGCCTGGGCCACAGGGCGAGACTCCCTCTCAAAAAAAAAATGTGGATTTTTGGGCTGGGTATGGTAGCTCACGCTTGTGATCCTAGCACTTTGGGAGACCAAGGTGTGAGGATTGCTTGAGGCCAGGAGTTCAAGGTCAGCCCGAAGATAGCAAGACCCTAAGACCCTAGCATGTAGACTCGTGTGTGCGTGCACACACACTCTCTCTCTCTCTCTCTCTCCCTCTCTCACTCTCTCATTCTCACTCTCACTCTCTCTCTCACTCTGCAGATTTCAGCTTATGTCCCAGCCCTGCTCTGTCAGCTTCCCCAGTGGTCAGGGACCCAAATCTGTCTGCTTCCCAGGTGAATCCTGCACACATTAAAGTCTGAGAACCAGACTAAGATCTGACTCTGCCTGGCAGGCCCAGGAATTGTTCTCGGGCAGTCGTTTCCCCTCTGTTTGACAGAAGCACCTAGAGTGACAGGGACCAGACTTGACTGAAGATGAGTTGTGTATTTGAGTTGTGCTGCCTGACCCATGCAGTACACCTAACATGGCTGTTCACCCATTTTACAGGAGCTTGAGAAACTGGCTTCTCGAAAGTTGAGAATAAATGCTAAAGAAACCATGAGGATTGCTGAGAAGCTCTACACTCAAGGGTAAATATTCTGGATTTGGGAGTAGAATTTGAACCATCTTTATCAGGATGAAATATTTTAGAAATAGAGTTTATGGGGAAAAACAGATTGTGTAGATAGCAACTGAGCTCTGAGGCAGGATTTTGACTTTGACTTCTCTTTTCTGATATGGAAAAGTTCTTTCTATATAAGAACCCAGAGAGTAGATTCAGATCTTACTTTTGACTCCCCAGCCATCTCCCTGTGGCCCTGGTGAGCGGCAGACAGTGGGTGGCACCTTTGAGAGTTGTTTGCCTGTGAAACTCCTCCCCGCCCCAGTCATGCACACCCCAGCACTGAGGTCCTCTAACTGTGCTGTCCAGCCTGCAGGTACTGAACAGTTGAAATTCAGGTTGTCCAAATTGGGCTGTGCTGTAGATATAAAATATACACTGAGTTTTGAAGACTTTTATGAAAATAGAATCTAAACTATCTCAGTAACTTAAGTGACTAATTGACAATTTAAAATTACAAATAGAGGCTGGGTATGCTGGCTTACACCTGAAATCCGAGCACTTTGGGAGGCTTAGGTGGGAGGATTGCTTCAGCTCAGGAATTCGAGACCAACCTGGGCAACATGGCAAAACCCTATCTCAACAAAAAATTCAAAAAATAAAAATTAGCCAGACATGGTGCCACACACTTGTAGTCCCAGCTCTTCAGGAGCCTGAGGTAGGAGGATCACTTGAGCTTGGGAGGCGGAGGCCGCAGTAAGCCAAGGTCATGCCGCTCTACTCCAGACTGGGCGCCAGAGCAAGACTGTCTCAAAAGAAAAAGAAAAAACAAATGGAGTTCACAGTACAGTTTTATCGGACAGTGTTATTCTTTGTATCCTCTAAGAAAAGTCTCAAAGCACACGCTGGTGGAACTTGTCAGGAGCAGTGAAGCTCATGTGCTACATCCAGGTTGGTCTGTCAGACTCACCCTCAGAGCGGCCAGTGATGACAAGCCCCAGGCTATGAGGTGGCTGGCCTTTATCCTGTGCTATGCTATCCCTTTTGTTTCTCCTTTGGCTTCTTTGAGTGTCCTAGCAGGAGAGCCAGCTGCTTTTCGCCCCATGAAGGGGTGCGTCTCATCTCAACTTTCCTGAATCAGGTAACCTAGACTGCCTTCAGTAGAGTTGGCTACGTCAGATGAGTGTTTGCAGGTGTTAGCGGGTGCTTTCAGTTGTTTATAGACCAATCAGTGAGCCTAACAATTTATTTTTCTGTTTGTTTGCCTTGGTTTTAGGTACATCAGCTATCCCCGAACAGAAACAAACATTTTTCCCAGAGACTTAAACCTGACGGTGTTGGTGGAACAGCAGACCCCCGATCCACGGTGGGGGGCCTTTGCCCAGAGCATTCTAGAGCGGGGTGGTCCCACCCCACGCAATGGGAATAAATCTGACCAAGCTCACCCTCCCATTCACCCAACCAAATACACCAACAGCTTACAGGTTGGTTTTCCTGAATGTGCTGCCTTCTGGAACCCAGATGGAAGTGCTGGGGGTCAGTAGTAGGACTTGAATTTACTCTGTGAGCTCTGATTGTAGAAACAAGTGATTTTGAGATCTCTCTCATTTCACTTTCCTCTGCCTGGCTTTCATGAAAGACCGCTTCACCCCTCCCCATGGTGGGCGTTTTAATCCAGCCCCACGTCCCCACTCTCCATCAGCTCCTGCTGATTCCCTGCTGGTACTTCATAGGCAACCTAGGTGCCTCACGTCTGCATACTTCTGTACAGACCCCCACCCCCACCGTGAGCCTTGTGGCCTTTCCAGTCCCTGGAACTGGAGAGTTCTATCCATCTTCCCAAGACTGACTCAGTTTTGATTGCCTCCTGAAACTTTGCTGCCACCCCAGTTGTGCCACCCCCATCACTGCAGAGTGTCCCACTCAGCTCTGCTTGTCACTTTCAGTCATTTCCTCAGCCGGGGGCAGGCTCTGCTGACACAGGAGCCATTAGGCTTGTTTACATCTGTAGGCTTCTCACAAAGCTGAGGAAATCTTAGTCTTTTTTTATTTTCCTTCTTTTATTGTTTGCCTGGCACTCCATGTTAGTGCAGAGCCTGAGAAGCAGTGTGGCCTGTTCTCTGCAGAACATTAGGCTAAGGCTACCAGCGATGTTCCTGTCCTTGAGATGTGATATTCTAGGGATAGTTCAGTCTCCTCTTTTCTTCCTAGGGAGATGAACAGCGACTGTATGAGTTTATTGTTCGCCATTTCCTGGCTTGCTGCTCCCAGGATGCTCAGGGGCAGGAGACCACAGTGGAGATCGACATTGCTCAGGAACGCTTTGTGGCCCACGGACTCATGATTCTGGCCCGAAACTATCTGGACGTGTATCCATATGATCACTGGAGTGACAAGGTGATAAAGAGGTGGGCCCAGGGAGAGGGAGGACAGTTGTGCTGCCAGCCCAAGCTCTCTAGTGGAGCGGGACCATCTTCCTTGAAATGAGGGGTTTTTTTTGCCTGAGTGTGATGATAGAATCACCTGACTGCTGCACCTGCTGCTCCCTGTAGATCCTCCCTGTCTACGAGCAAGGATTCCGCTTTCAGCCCAGCACTGTAGAGATGGTGGATGGGGAGACCAGCCCGCCCAAGCTGCTCACCGAGGCCGACCTCATTGCCCTCATGGAGAAGCACGGCATTGGTCAGTGGCTTCTCAACTCATGTCTCTTAAGCACTTACTATGTACTAGGCACAGATTTCCTCTCATCTTCAAACAATTCTGTAATGCAGGTGCTATATCCTTATCCGCATTTTATAGTTGAAATAAGGCTCAGAGGTTAAAAACTTACCTAAGGTCACAAACTGTGTGTTATTAAAACTTGGTCTATATAACTCCACAGTCAGTGCTCTTAAACCATGCACTCTGCTATCCACATAGCAACAGAGGCTTTTCCCCTGACTCTGCAGGCCCAGCTGGGAGAACCCTTTGGCCACATGGGGATTTATTGTTCTTTTGAGTAAGAATAGAATGTAAGGTACCAACTATTAAAACTTGGGACACTAATCATAAAATCTGTCTTCATTTTAAAGTGTCACATCAGGCAGCCCTGAGCCTCCTTCCTATGTGGAGCAGTGGGTGAGGGTGGCAGCTGTCTCTGCAGGCCTGCTCCCATACTACTCAGGCTGCTCACAGTGGCCTCATGTATGTGGCAGAACACTGCTGTTAGCTATCGGTGGCTGGATTCTTAGCTTTTTGTTGAAGCATTTCCCATAATTGCTTAGGAATCAGAAACTAAAACACTGGGCCAAAATTGTGTTACTCCCATTAAGTCCCATGGCTCAACCTTTACAGGTAGGTCCTTGTGACTAATCTGCTGTGCCCTCCATTCGTTTTTGTCAAGGCTCTCAAGGGCTTTCTCTGGCAAACCTAGTCCAGAAACACCCACAGCTCAGTGGAGGGGAAGCAGAGCTCCCTGGGCATGTGTTACATAAGCAGCTGCCTCATCCACAAAGGGAGTTTCTTAGTCCTCTGACTTAGGAAGCAGTGCTCCACCGTGGAGTCCTTGACCATCACTAGGACATCTAGAAACCCTGCAGGTTTAGGTAAAATTAGTGGAGGTTCACCCATCATGATTTATTTAATAAATATGTATGAGGCCAGGTGTGGTGGCTCACACCTATAATCCCAGCACTTTAGGAAGCCAACATGTATGAGTCACTTGAGCCCAGGAGTTCAAGACCAGCCTGGGCAATATGGCAAAACCCCAACTTGCTGGGTGTGATGGCTGACGCCTATAATCCCAGCACTTTGGGAGGCCAAAGTGGGTGTATCACTTGAGGTAGGGAGTTTGAGATCACCAGCCTGGTCAACATGGCAAAACCCTGTCTCTACTAAAACTACAAAAATTAGCCAGGCGTGGTGGTGGGCACCTGTAATCCTGGCTACTCGGGAGGCTGAGGGAGGAGAATCACATGAACCCTGAAGGTGGAGGGTGCAGTGAGCCAAGATCACGCCACTGCACTACAGGCTGGGCAACAGAGTGGGACTCCATCTCAAAAAAAACCCATTTCTACAAAAAATTAGGTACATGCCTGTAGGGATGCTGAGGTAGGAGGGTCACTTGAGCCCAGGAGGCAGAGGCTGAGGTAAACTGGGATTGTGCCACTGCACTCCAGCCTGGGCAACAGAGCAAGACCCTGTCTCAAAAAAGAAAAAAAAAAAGGAAAAAGGAAAAAGTCCACAAGAGTGGGAGCATAGACTAGGCACCAGGGACGCAAATGAATAAGACCTCATTCTTTGAGTTCTCAATCTAACAGAAGAACCAAACCAAACCAGCACATTGAATACAATGCAATGGGTTCTTCAGAGAGTAAACAGGGAAGAAAATGTCGTGGGTGGGCTAGCATTTCAGCTGCACCAAAACCACATAGTAAGACTTCTGGATCAGTAAAGGGCAGCCCAGTGCAGGGCAGGCCTGAGGAAGGGCACAGGAGCAGGAAAGCAAAAGCCTGCTATAGCTGGAGTGGGGGTGGTGGCCATAGAAGGGGAACCTGGAAAAGTGATTCAAGCCTGACTTTGCAGGGCCTTGGCTTGCCCAACTGAGGGGCTTAGATGCTGGTACATGGCCAGCAGGGAGACTTCTAGAATTTCTTTTTTTTTTTTTTGAGACAGAGTCTTGCTCTGTCACCCAGGCTGGAGTGCAGTGGCGAGATCTCGGCTCACTGCAACCTCCGCCTCCTGGGTTCTTGCAATTTACCTGCCTCAGCCTCCTGAGTAGCTGGGACTACGGAATCACGCTGCCACGCCTGGCCAATTTTTTGTATTTTAGTAGAGACGGGGTTTCACCATGTTGCCCGGGCTGGTCTCAAACTCCTAAGCCCAGACAGTCCGCCCACCTTGGCCTCCCAAAGTGCTGGGATTACAGGCATGAGCCAGACTTCTAGGATTTCTGAGTAAAGGAACCATATAGAGGTATACCTAAAAGAAAACAAACCAAAATAATATTTTTAAAAGATTATTAACAGGATGGGCGTGGCGTCTCACACCTATAATCCCAGCACTTTGGGAGGCCTAGGTGGGCGGATCACTTGAGGTCAGGAGTTCAAAACCAGCCTAGACAACATGGTGAAACCGCATCTCTACTAAAAATACTAAAATTAGCTGGGTGTGATGGCTGACACTTATAATCCCAGCTACTCAGGAGGCTGAGGCAGGAGAATCACTTGAACCCAGGAGGTGGAGGCTGCAGTGAACCAAGATCATACCACTACCCTCCCAGCTTGGGAAACAGTAAGACTCTGTCTCAAAAAAAAAAAAAAAAAAAAAAAAGATTATTAACAGCTTTATTCACATACCATCCAGTTTACCTGTTTCAAATGAATAATTCACATTTTTTAGCATATACACAAAGTTGTGCAGCTATCACCACAGTCAGTTTTAGAACATTTTCACCACCTCAGAAAGAAATCCCATACCCTTTAGCAGTCACTCCCCATTTCCCCCTCCCTCTAATCCTTCCAGCCCTAGGCAACCACTCATTTTTCTGACTTAATAGATTTGCCTTTTTTTTTAACTAAAAATATTTTGCATGCAATGGCACAATCTTGGTTCACCACATCCTCTGCCTCCTGCGTTCAAGCGATTCTCCTGCCTCAGCCTCCCGAGTAGCTGGGATTATAGGCATGTGCCACCAAGGCCAGCTAATTTTGTATTTTTAGTAGAGACGGCTTTTCTCCACGTTGGTCAGACTGGTCTCGAATTCCTGACCTCAGGTGATCTGCCACCTCGGCCTCTCAAAGTGCTAGGATTGCAGGCGTATGCCACGGCACCTGGCCCCTAAATTTTTTTTAGAGAGACAGGATCTTACTCTGTCACCCAGGCTAAGTCACAGCTGTGAATTCCTGGTTTCAAGGGATCCTTCCACCTCAGCCTCCTAGTAGCTGGGACTACAGGCATGTGTTGCCATGCCCAGCTAATTTTTTTGTTAGCTTTTATTTTTAGACAGTCTCACTCTGTCACCCAGGCTGGAGTACAGTGGCATGATCTCAGTTCACTGCAACCTCCACCTCCCAGATTCAAGTGATTCTCCTTCCCCAGTCTCCTGAGTAGCTGGGACTACAGGTGCATGTCACTGGCTAATATTTGTATTTTTAGTAGAGATGGGATTTCAGTATGTTAGCTAAGCTGATCTTGAACTCCTGACCTCAAATGATCCACCCACTTTGGCCTCCCAAAGTGCAAGAATTACAGGCATGAGCCACCATGCCCAGCCAAGCCATCTTTGTTTTATGTAGGGACAAGATCTTCCTATGTTGCCTAGTCTGGTCTGGAACTTGTAGCCTCAAGCCGTCCTCCTACCTCAACCTCTCAAAGTGTTGTAATTACAGGAGTGAGCCGGTATACCTGGCCAGATTTGCCTACTTTAGATATTTCCTATAAAGAGCCAGGAATAGTGGCTCACGCCTGTAATCCCAGCACTTTGGAAGGCCAAGGTGGGCGGATCACTTGAGGTCAGGAGTTCCAGACCAGCTTCACCAACTTGGTGAAACACTATCTCTACTAAAACTATAAAAATTAACCAGGCTTGGTGGCAGGTGCCTGTAATCCCAGCTACTCAGGAGGCTGAGGCAGGAGAACCCAGAAGGTGAAGGTTGCAGTGAGCTGAAATTATACCATTGCACCCTAGCCTGAGCAACAGAGCAAGACTGTCTCAAAAATAAATAAGAAAAGAGAATCATATAATGTTTGGCCTTTCGTAACTAACTTTTGCTTAGGACGATGTCTTCAAGCTTCATCTATGTTGTAGCACGTGTCAGAACTTCATTCCTTTGTATTACCAAATAATATTCCATTGTATGTATAGACATTGTCTTTTTCTATTTTCTAGTTGATGGACACTTGAGTTGTTTCTACTCTTTGGCTATAAATAATGCTGCCCTGAACAGTTTTGTACAAGTTGTGTGTGGATATGTGTTTTCATTTCTCTTGGGTAGACTTAACCAGTGGGATTGCTGGTGTACATGGTCTCTACATCTAACACTTTTAGGAACCATCAAACTTTTCTGAAGCGGTTGCACCATTTTTCATTCCCACCAGTAAGGCCCTAGGATTCCAGTTTCTTCACATCTTTACTAACACTTAGTATCATCTCTTTTTTTTATTTTGCTGGTAGGTATGAACTGCTATTTCATTGTGTGTGGTTTTTGTTTTTTTTAAAAGATGGGGTCTCACTTGGTCACTCAGGCTGGAGTGCAGTGGCACGATCTCAGCTCACTGCAGCTTCTGCCTCCCAGCAGCTTCTGCCTCCCAGCTTCAAGCAGTCCTCCTGCCTCAGCCTCCTGAGTAGCTGGGACACTCGCCGAGCTACTCAGCACTGCCACACTCGGCTAATTTTTGTTGTTTTTTTTTTTGAGACGGAGTTTCGTTCTTCTTACCCAGGCTGGAGTGCAATGGCGCCATCTCGGCTCACCGCAACCTCCGTCTCCTGGGTTCAGGCAATTCTCCTGCCTCAGCCTCCTGAGTAGCTGGGATTACAGGCACGCGCCACCATGCCCAGCTAATTTTTTGTATTTTTAGTAGAGACGGGGTTTCACCATGTTGACCAGGATGGTCTCGATCTCTTGACCTCGTGATCCACCCGCCTCGGCCTCCCAAAGTGCTGGGATTACAGGCTTGAGCCACCGCGCCCGGCCCTAATTTTTGTATTTTTGATAGAGACAGGGTTTCGCCTTGTCGACCATGCTGGTCTTAAACTCTGACCTCAGGTGATCCACCTGCCTTGGCCTCCCAAAGTGCTGGGATTACAGGCATGAGCCAATGCGCCCAGCCTTCACTGCGATTTTAATTTGCATTTCCTTCATGGCAGAGCTACATTTTGAAAGGTCCCTCTGGCCACAGCTTAAAATATGGTTTGGGTCGAGGAAGAGACTAGAAATAGGGATACAAGCTACAACTATAGCTTGGACACAAGGGGAGGAAGATTTTAAAAAGGAGCTTTCAAGCTGGAATTGACAGCTATCGTGAGTAATGGGATGTGTGAGGGAGCAAGAGAGTTGAGGTTGCCATTGTGATTTCTTGAATGAGCCATACGGGCTGTTCAGGCGAAGGAGGGGTTCTGGGGTGAGCAGGGTGCCCGTGGGCTACCCAGGTACAGCTGTTACCTGTATTACCTCAGAATAACCAGAAAATGGCTTCCAGGTACGGATGCCACTCATGCGGAGCACATTGAGACCATCAAAGCCCGGATGTACGTGGGGCTCACCCCAGACAAGCGGTTCCTCCCTGGGCACCTGGGCATGGGACTTGTGGAAGGTAAGGGAGGAGGGAGCTTGCAGTGGGTAATGGGTGGTGTCACCCAAGTCCCTGAGGGTCTCAGGTGGGTCCTTACTGAGCATGACTCTTTCCCTGCAGGTTATGATTCCATGGGCTATGAGATGTCTAAGCCTGACCTCCGGGCTGAACTGGAAGCTGATCTAAAGCTGATCTGTGAGGGCAAGAAGGACAAATTTGTGGTTCTAAGGCAGCAAGTGCAAAAATACAAGCAGGTTTTCATTGAAGCAGTGGCTAAAGCAAAGAAGTGAGTGCTTAAAAGAAATAGAAATGGGTGGCCAGGCGTGGTGGCTCACACTTGTAATCTTAGCACTTTGGAAGGCTGATGTGGGCAGATCACAAGGTCAGGAGATCGAGACCATACTGACTAACATGGTGAAACCCCGTCTCTACTAAAAATACAAAAAATTAGCCGGGTGTGGTGGCATGTGCCTGTAGTCCTCGCTACTCAGGAGGCTGAGGCAGGAGAATCGCTTGAACCTGGGAGGTGAAGGTTGCAGTGAGCCGAGATGGTGCCACTGTATTCCAGCCTGGGTGACAGAGCAAGACTCCCTCTCTAAAAAAAAAAAAAGAGAGAGAAAAGAAAGAAATGGAGATGGAGTCTCACTTACTTCCTATGTTGCCCAGGCTAGTCTTGAACTCCTGGCCTCAAGAGATCTTCCCACCTCGGCTTCCCAAAGTACTGAGATTATAGGCGTGAGCTACTACGCCCGGCAAGCTAGTTTAAACTTAATGCAGACAGATACGTCTGGAATTTATGCATGGACCCTGTGCAATTTTAGTTTTTCTTTTTTCTTTTTC